ACTGTGATGCTTGTTACATAGCTTCAGCATATATCTGATTTCTAATTTATCTTTAGAAATATTTGTTTAAAGCCAGTGACATAATTTGATATATATGTATTCTGTGTATAAAATTTCAACACATCTCCAGGTAGGCATCACTCTATAAACTGATATTTAGTTGTCTGGAGGTGGAAGTGGTGGTGTCTCCATTGTGATATATTGGCTTACTCCCAAGAAAGCAGGTCAGGTGTGTATATGGAAGCCCAGGCCTCATAGCAGACCTGCCCTTAGGAAAGCAGCGGTTACTAATACTTGAGCCTGGCAGAGAGTTGTACTTGGTCCAAGAAGGCATAATCTCTAAGGGACTTGGAGAACCCCAGTAACAACTTGAGAAGTATTTATCGCCCTCTATGAAGCTGATAAGCAGAAGACAGGAAGACAGGTGTCACCTGGGAGGTTGAATCGTGTAGGCATTGTGTCTGGCCATTATGGCTCCATGGTAGGGATCTGTCATTCTTCTCCTGAAATATTGCCGTTTCCCTGATCTGTGTTCTCAGCTCAACACGCCTATCCCTCCTACACATTCTTTCTGGTTAAACTCAACCACTTAGCAGTTTCAGCTACAGTCTCTGTGTTCACATGGCCCTAATGAACATATACTCCCTCCCCATTCTCCATCTCCCTCCTGAGCTTCACGTCCATTTCCCAATGATCTCTTGAACATTTCTTTTTGTTTTTTGAAATGGAGTCTCACTCTGTCACCCAGGCTGCAGTGCAGTGGCACAATCTAAGCTCACTGCAACCTCCGCTTCCTGGGTTCAAGCGATTCTCGTGCCTCAGCCTCCTGCATATCTGGGATTACAGTCACCTGCCACCATGCCCTGCTAATTTTTTTGTATTTTTAGTACAGATAGGGTTTCGTCATGTTGCCCAGACTGGTCTCAAACTCCTGAGCTCAAGTGATTCACCCGCCTTGGCCACCCAAAGTGCTGGAATTACAGGCGTGAGTCACCACACCCAGCCCCCTTCAACATTTTTATTTGGATATAATACAGAAATATCAAACTCTGCAGATCCAAAATCAAGCTCCTGATTTTCCTCTACTCTTATTCCTCTTCCTATAGTTCCTATTATCTGCTGGTTGATATCCATATCTATTGTGTTCAAAGTTTAGGAATCAACTTTTGTTATCCTCCAACATCCATATTCAATCAATCAACAACATCATGTTTATGGCCATTCTATCGCCCCTCTTTAACACTTTATGAATGTTCATTCTCTTCTCTAACTTTATTATCTCTGCCTTAATTGAGGCCCTCATCTTTTGCTTGGACTACTCTAAGCTTTTCCGACTTGTTCTGGTTTTAGACATGCCCTGCTCAAACAAATCCCCCTAAAATTTCTCAGTGATCTATCTAACATTGAAATGGAAATACATCACTCCCCTTTATATTGGCTACCCACTTAACACTGATCTCTGATCAGCCGCAAGACACACAAAAAGGCAGTGGAAAAATGGTAAAGAAAAGGTATTACTACCCTAGAATCTTATACATGGCTAAATGATCTATCAGAAGTGAGGGAAAATAATAGACTCTTTCGGATATACAATGACTAAGAGAGATCCAAACTCTAAACAAATTACTAAAGACTTATTTCAGCAAGAAGGAAAATGGAGCCAGAGTGAAGACATGCTATCTTAAAAATATAATGAAGCATCAATATGTCATTAAATTAATTTTCTATTAAGAGTAAAAAATACTAACTGTTGTGTTTAATAAAAAAGTGAAACTGAAACCACAGCCAATAATAGCAATTGGAAGAGGAGGTGTTTTCAATGGGCAAGGCGTGCTAAAAGTCCTTGCCACATCCAGGAAAAGAATGGAAATACGGAATGAGCTTAGAATTTTAAAGATGTTTTATAGTTAAATATGTAAGTGAGAAATTAACGATAACATCTAAAGTAATGGATGAAATCTGTAGATTATACAGACAGAAGGGCATAAACAAATTAATTTTTTTTAAAGCAAAGAAATAGGATGGTAAATTTAAAGTGAAAATTAGATGCCATCAACAAGTACAAATATAACAATAATAAGAGTAATTTCCAAAACTTTAAACTTACCTATTTAAATGGCACATGTTATTTACTTGTCTTTTCTTCTATTTTTAATTAGTATATGTGAGTTTTACTTATTTTGGAAGTACATGTGTATTTTGATACCTCTCTGCAATGGCTAATGATCAAATTGGGGTATTAAGGATATCCATCAACTCAACCATTTATCTTTTCTCTGTGTTATGAATATTACAAATCTGATATTCTAGCTATTTTGGAATATACAATAAATTATTGTTAACTATAATTTTCCTACTGTACTCTCAAATACTAATGTTTATTCCTTCTATCTAAAATTGTATTTTTGTACCCCTTAATTTGTCTTGAAAATAAAATCCAGATTTATGCTACTAATTGATACATGCCCAAACTGTACTACAGAAAAATGTTACAATTTAAAAATAAGGGGTAGCATAATAATGTGTGCCATGAAAATACTAAAAATTAATAATTCAGGTGCGTAGCATTCATATCAGATGAAACAGAACATAAATTCAAAAGTATTAATAGACAAACAGAAGTAGAAAAGAATTATAATATCCTCCAAACTATAACAATTATAAACTTGTATGCGCTTAGCAGATTCAAAATGTATAAAGCATTATCTGACAAAATTACAGGAAGCAATGGACAGATCCATTCATAATTTTCTCTGATCTACAACGTGCAGATTTTCTCTGATCTACACAATGTGTGGATAAATAAAAAGTTAAGATACATAAAAATGTCAAGAGGATAAATACATAGAAAATAAACAATCAGTGGAGAACTTGAATGAAGGTAAATGTCAGTTGGATACTGAAAAAAAATAAATGAAAAGATTAAAAGCAAGACTAATAAGGAAAAACAACGATGGCTAATATTAATAATCAACATTAGGAATGACAAGAAAAATATATAATATAATGATAGAGTTACTTGTATTTCAAAATTATAGTAGTAGTTTTGTGTATTTTCTTATAGATACATAAAAATATCTATTGAGTAGTACATCGGTTTCCTTCAGGGAGAAGAACTAGGTTGCTGGGGAGCAGAAGAGGAAGGCAGGTTTTCTTTTGAACAATGTGAATATATCACCTGCTCAATAAAACTTTAACAAAAGGAGATAAATTTAAAAATTAAAAAGATAATGTACCATAACCAAGTTAACCCAATTGGTTTTTAATGAATTAAACATAGAAAGATGGCATAATAAGTAACAATCAAAAATTGAACCAGAAAATAAATGTCCCCTACCACCCTCCTAAAAGCAACAACAACAACAACAGCAGCAACAAAGCCCCAGAACTCTTACAGGTCGATGAAGCAAAACACGGCCCAAAGAAAAAGTGGACAAAGTACAGGAACAGGCAATTTCCACAAGATAATACCCAAATGGTCAACAGAAATATACGTAGTTTCAAAAAGGCTCTAATACACTTGTATCCAGAAAAATCCTAGTTAAAATAAAGAGATATTATTTCATGGCAATTGAATTGGCAAAACTAATCTGACAGCAACAAGGGTTGATAGAATGTGGGCCAAAGCAACTCTCTTACACAACTGTAAGGAGGGTAAATTGACACACTAGGGGTGGCAGTGTCACTAGTCTATACATTTAGAAAGTGTGTGCATGTGATTCAGCCATTCTTTTGGGGGTTATATAGTCTCTAGTGAAATTCCCACCCATGTGCACAAGCAGAGCATGTTCAGGACTGGTCATTGTGGCTTTGTTTGCAACAGAGTATAACTAGAAACAACTACAATAACATAAATAAATAAATTTTGTTACAATCCTGCAAAGGAAGTCAAGACAACAAAATTAGTAAATTAGAAATAGATAGACAGATATAGTTAGATAAATATCAAAGACAACGTTGACAGAAAATAAAAGTTGCAGAAGCAGATGTGAAGTATGATATATTTATGCAAAGCTTAAAAACATAGAAAAGATATACATTGTTAGTGATTCCATATATATGTAGAAAATGTTTTAAAATATACATGGAAATGATCAATAACAAATCTGAGAAGGCTGAGAATGGAATTAGGAAGCAGTTCACAGGGAGCATTAATCACTGATAAATGTTATTTTTTCATAGAAAAAATGGGAAGTAATACGGCAAAATGGTAAAAATCAGCAAAGCTGGCTACTGGGTACTGGTGTTTGCTATGTTATTTTCTGTATGAGATGTTTAAAATATTTAATAATTTCAAAAATAAAAATAAAGTACTTATTACAAGGCTGCTTATCACTGGTAATACTTGTAGCATTAGTACAATGCTGGTAGTGCTATTACATGCTGTCGTTATTATAATTAATACCAATCCATCAACTGCTATTTTAACTGACACGAATGTTTACTGCTAGAGGATACACCCTGTTAAAGAAGCTTGTGAATCTTCTGGTAAATGCAACAATCCTTTTATAAGAAGGAGAATAATCTCTAATAGCATATATATTCTGTAAGTTGGAATTTTTGTAGATTATTTCAAAAAATTTTATTTGCTTATTTACTGCCTGACTAAACCAGTCTTTGAAAACAAAGGCCAATAAAATAAACTATATTAATTGACAACTATTTTTCTGAAAATCTTTTATCTTTCATAGCCAGTTTTTGGTTACCAGTCTTGTAAGCATGCAAGAAAAATTGAAATCTAAAAATAAGAACCAACAGAAGTCAAATTATGCCCCCTTAACAAGAACAACAAAAAAACTTTCAAAGCAATAAGGACATGGAGAAAGACTTGTTTCAATGATGTTATTTTATATTTACGTATGTAATAGACAATGTGATATAAAAACTAATATTCAAACATATTTAAAAAGAATGATAGTTTCTTATATTCGTAATATAATTTATACAACATGACGTGAAATACTAGCAATAGAATGCTGGGGAAAAAAATGTCAACCAACCCTGAGAAGAGTGTACTGTGGATTTAGCTTCTTCCTCATCCATTGAGGCACAAGCGTTCTTCTCTGTTTCTTTCTCTGAAAGGCCAGCTGTATTATCCACTCCTGATTCTGCTTTCTCTCCTTTAGCCATTAGACAAACTGGAAATTCAGGGGGAAGTCGAGTGCGGCTTTCATGATTTTTTTGACCATCAAGATGCAAAGGAAGTTTAATGACCTATTAAGAGAGCAATCTGTTATCTAAATTGTTGAAACTATTACATAGTTTTCATCTTTAAAAAAGAGACAATTTGAAAAAGCTAAAATATCAATAATAAATTCAGTTTTCCAGACATTATATGCTTTGGTTTGGTTGCATTACAAAGAATGCAGGTTTTTTTCATTAACAAATTTACACAAGTGCTTCAGATAGTACCATTTGCTGTCTATATATTAGTTTCTCCTTTATTTCAGTTTATAATTTTTAAAATTTCTTCTTCCAAATAACACTATCTAACATTCATACTAGGAGAAAATTAGCAAATATTCATTCACTATTTACCATCTCCAAGAAATAATATTTTAAGTTCAACAAGAAATGACAAGATTGTAGAATCTAGCAGTGAATGAGTGCTCATTATACAATTTTTTCAATTTTAATAGTAAAAGTGCTTGGAGACAGTAATGACACAAGAAGTGAAATATTCAGGAAAGTGAGGAATTGACAGACAAAGCTTCCTGGGAAAGAGTGACAGGCTATCTTTCTGACATCATTTTCACTGTTGCATCCTTACACACACGCTGTGGGGAGCCTCAGAGCTGTTGGCCAGCCTTCTCTGGGATGCTCAGGGTTATTAGTCTGAGTACTATCCCTAATGACACCGTGAAAGAACACGTGAATTCATGGCTAAGCCATGTGACCTGGCTCTGCCAGCCCCTGGTTGACAGTAGCAGTTTCTCCACACTGACTGACCCAGGAGAGAAATGTTCAGGATTCACCTGGATTGACTTATTTCCTTTTTATCTTCTAACAGGGCATTGCAAAAAAACACTTTGCTGTTCCATCATCTGCATTACTTCTCTTTTCTCTTCCCAATTCCAACTTATTCTTTTCTGAGTAAATACAGCATTAACTTGTTCAAAAATGTTTGCATTTGAGAAAACTTACATTGGAAAAATCCACAACTTTTAGAATTTCACATAAGAGGAAACTGAGGTTTCCAGAAAAGAAGTTTTTTGTTTTTGTCCTCATGAGAGAGAAGGATCTACATGCGTACTTATTCTGCCTACAATCAGAAAATCATGCATCTTGCATGTTATTATTCTCATTAATAAAACTCACTTCCCCATGAAATGTTCAGAAGGAGAAAATTATTTTTATTGTCTATCAAATAAGAATGTTAGTGGACAATTACATCCATTTCTAATGGATAATGCCAGCCGAACTCTGCAAATAAATTATAGTATTCCTTATTTTTCTCTACAGAGTATTTTTAATAGAAAGTCAGAAAAAAACGAGGCAAATTTTAGTAATACGTTCAAATTCAAGTAGATTTTGGTCAAATCAAATTATTCTAACGCTGCTAAAATGTACCCACTTTTCTTGACCTTGCAAATATTAAACACTACTTTGAATTTAACCTCAAATATATACTATCTTTATGATGAATAACAGTACTACATAAATTGTCTTTTATAAAACAAAGCTGGTTCTGACTTTCCATCCCATAATTTATAGAACACTGAATTTTAGGAAACAGTTAGTGAAAAAGTCAGTTAATAATTATAGATGTCTTCCACATTAGTTAGACCAAAATTTACTTATTTATTTATTTATTTTGAGTCAGAGTTTCACTCTTGTTGTCCAAGCTGGAGTGCGGTGGCGCGATCTTGGTTCACTGCAACCTCCACCTCCCAGGTTCAAGCGATTCTCCTGCCTCAGACTCCTGAGTAGCTGGGATTACAGGCACCTGCCATCTCACCCAGCTAATTTTTGTATTTTTAGTAGAGGCAAAATTTAACCATGTTGGCCAGGCTGGTCTCAAACTTCTGACCTCAGGTGATCCACCCGCCTCGGCCTCCCAAAGTGCTGAAATTACAGGCATAAGCCACCACACCCAGCCCAAACTTTACTTTCTTATGGCTATATTTATTTTGACTCTTGGCATGGAATTCAGGTCACCAATTTTTAAAATATTTTCTTATGGATTTTCTATAGTTATCTTCAACCTTTAGATAAATTTTCAATTTTTTTTACATTCACTTATAATAGTCTTCCTTTTCAAGCTTATTTATATCAGCATTTCTGATTCTTAGAAGGTTTTAAAAAGTTCTGATGCCTGACACCACACCACAAAACAACTAAATTAAAATATCTGAGACTAGAACCCAGGCAAAAGTATTTCTAAAACTTCCCACAGAATTCTAGTGTGCAATCAGATTTATCTTAGGATGGCACTATTTCCAAAATGAATAGACAGGTACATATTCACATAAACATTATTTTATTAATACCATACCTACACTGCCCCAAAACGATATTTCAGCAAAACATTATAATGGAATTAGATAAGAAGAAAAAATGCCAGGTAATTCTACTCAAAGTAAATAGGAAACAGGAAGACCGTTGCTGATTTTAAGGACGAAATTACTTGTGCTTCCTGGGAACACCCAATTGAATAGTTCTATCAGTTAGGTAAGTAGATAGGTAGACAGACAGACAGACAGATACATTACATAAATATAAATAAAACTTCAAACATGAAGGTGAAGAAGAACAATTGACGGCATTATATGACACGAACAACCTGGGGAAAAACATCATAATCAGGAAGAATAAATTTGGGTACAAAGAACACACTACGAATGCACTGGAATGCTTATCCTTTTTGCATCCCTAGAGCAGGCAATGCCCAATGCACAATAGAAGCTCAGGAAACACTTTTTTTTTTTTTTTGAGATAGGGTCTTGCTCTGTTGCCCAGGCTGGAGTGCAGTGGCATGATCTCGTCTCACTGCAACCTCCACCTCCTGGGTTCAAGCGATTCTCCTGCCTCGGCCTTTCAAGTAGCTGAGATTAAAGGTGCATGCCACCAAGCCTGGCTAGTTTTTGTAGCTTTTTAGTAGAGACAGGGTTTCACCATGTTGACTAGGCTGGTCTTGAACGCCTGGTATCAAGTGATTCACCTTGACAAGGAAACTTACCAGAGCTCCATCCCCATGTTAATGAGATGAAGCTGCACATTCTACCCCAGCAGTGACAGATTGTGAACTGAAACTTGAGTGGCAGCTCTGGCCCATTCACAACATAGAAAATTTTATTAAATGATCTTTCATTTCCCACTAATTCTATAATTTTATTCCTCGTTTCTAAATATCGATTTAATCTGTATTATCAGAAATCAGCATTAAGATGTAATAACTTTTACCATTCTATGCCACTTTACTTATTAAATTTTCCAATGGCATGAACAGAAGCTGAAGGCTAGAAAGAAGCAGCTTTAGAAAACATTTTAATTCCTTGCCACTTAAAAAATCATATTGCAAACCTGAAAATAGAGATTGCACAGCCAATGGTCCAAGTCCAAGCAAATCAAATCTTCAATCTTCCTAAAGTTGCTGAGTTTCTCACCATAATGTCCTCGGAGAAGGGGACACTTAAATTTTCCCTCCACTATATTAAAGTTGTTATCACACAGAGGGAACACTGCCCAGCCCACAGCCCGGTCCAGGCAAGCATATGTGCCACGAAGGAGAAAGAGTTCAAACAAGAAAGCCATGCCAGGGCTCACATTTTTCTTTTGAGGGAGCACCTATGAAAAATATTAAGAAAAGAGAAGATAGAGATGCTTGTGGTTTTAGAAACACGTTACATTCAGTGATGACCATACACAATTTAGAATTAAGTAAAACGTTAGTCTATACTCCTGTGGTTGGCCCTTGAAAACTCACCATTGGATGTCTTTACATTCACAGTCCTTCTAGCCCCAGGTAATTGAGCAACCATGAAAATGTGATCCACACAAATTTGACCCTGCCAGGTAAAGAGTCTAAACTTCATGCGTTTTAGAAATCAAGTTTGCAACATGTTAACTCACATAGTAGTCTGTGTTTTCATTTCATTCCTCTTTGATCGAGCTGGCACCTCTACTGTATAACTATTTCTATCTTCCATAAGAGTCATTGTTTTGAATGCCTGCCATTCATTTTTGTATCATTCACTTACCCAGCACAACTGCATCACACAGAACAAATGCTTTTTAAAAAGTTATTAAATAAATTATCACAAATTATCCCACCCATAATAATAACTTGAATTATTATTCCAAAGTCCACCTCTGGAAGAATGAATAGAGTCCTACTTAATTTTGTGATTTTTCTGTTTATTTCAGTTGACACTATAATGCACATGCTGTATAAGCGAGTTGTCAGTGCTAAATAAATAGAACTGAATGTAAAGATGGGCGAAATAATCAGAATGACCAAGCCACTGATCAAGTCCCCAGATGTAGAGATGGAGCCTATTCCATGACCTTAAAACAAAATTTAGAGAAATGTAAGACACAAATAATCTTTTTTAAAAACTGAGTTATAGCCTTCAATTTCTTTTTAGAATTTTGTGTGGATAATTACAAGTAGACAAAGATTGGAACTTAGACTATTTTTAAACACATATTTAACCAAAAGTGTGTAGGTATATTGTATATTATTTTTATAAATATTCCAAGACTTAGTTTAGGTATAAAATGAAACAGAGGCATCTGTTGAAAAATGCCATAACCTTGTAGCAGCTGCTATTAAACCATTAACAGGATCAGGTTTTATTTAAACCAGATTTATCATTTTTTTACAACAGCCTATGGGAAAGCTAAAAACACTAGGCACAAATCACTGACAAAAGAGAACCTTATTCAAGCTGTACTTTTCATTTGGCTAGTTGGCTGTGAGTAACCTTTGTGATACGAGAATAAAAGTTGAATTGGGAGAAGGAGTCAGAATCCTGTTTTGGGCCATCATTTAAAAATCAAGTTGAACTGATACTATCGACAATAATTTCATCTATTTTTAGCCCCGCATTTAGAAGTGAAAACTAGAGCCCCTGTTACACTAAACTCCTATGTATTCAGCTATACATTCAAAGTAGATGAATTAAGAATTTGTCCA